GCGTTTTCACCCATCAATGAACTTGAGCATTGCCAAATTTCTCAGTTTTGAACAGGTTCATGTTCTTACATTATTTTCAAAAGTTTAGATTTTAGTTTTGAATGCTTTATCTTGTTTTGTGGGCATGAGTAGCCTTTTGAGTTCTAAAGTGTTTCGTTCTGTTTCTTGTTTGATGTATCATCTGACCTTTAGGGTGTGTTTGTATATAAAATAATCCAATCCATATTCAATCCATACTCAAAATCTTATTCAACTTTAATCCAACCCCACTATCCTCAGTATTATCAATATAATTAAATAATTGTAATCAATCATTTCTTACACATCATATCAACTTTAATTCACTATTCATCAACTCACATAATTTTAACTAACCATCACTTCACATCATCTCGCCCCTACTTTTACATCCAATCAATTTTAATTATTTTATTTTAAATATTATTTTAATATAAACCCAAAATTCCACTAACAATTAACCATACCACTTTTTTTCAAAATTAATCATGGTTAACCAAAAAAACTCATTTTGAGCGGATATATTGTATCCAGACAAGCCCTTAATATTACATGTGTACCGCTGGGAAACTGGTTAAAGTTAAGCAGTTAATTGTGTAATGCATATGCGGGCATGCTTCAAATGCATCATTTTTTTGTGCAGACCTTAAAAAATGCATTATCTCCATTCAGACTCGGAGGCTCTTCGGGTGGGAGTGATTTTGATCCGAGGGGAAAAAGTGATAATGAGGTTTTCATATTTATTCTGCGATGCTACAGTCTTTGAAGCTGGAATGTTGGAACACTATTGACCTTTTTTTTCCTTTCAAATCCTGAACAAATTGATAGGTCATGAGATTTTGTCAGAGCTTCATGAATGAGCTGTACCGCTATTTAGGTCCTGATAAGGTACTCTTTAATGGATTGATGCCTATTTCTTAAAGCCTTATCACGCATTATTTGTAATCTGCATTATTTCTTGAAATATAGGATCTTCCTTCAGAGGAGATGGGAGTTGGCACCCGCGAGATAGGTTATCTCTATGGACAATATCGACGACTTACTGGTCATTCTCAGGTTAAAGCTGAATAATCTACTACTTTTTTTTAGTAGGTGCTTGTGCATTTATTTAGCTGGGGGCATAATAAATGGGGTTATTCACTTGTCCTATTGATGTACAGATATTAATCTAAAGTCCAACCTATATAATATGATTCGTGTTTGTTTACCACACAAGTTACAAGAGTGTAATTTAAAATTGATAATTGGTTGTGTTTTTTATGTGCATGTGTTTATTGTGCAGGGAAGTTTTACAGGGCCTAGAATAAATTGGTCTGGCTCTAGTTTACGCACTGAAGCTACTGGATATGGATTGGTAACTAACTTTTCCCTACTTTTGGTGTAATTCCTTTTCTTTTCATGATATTATTATTATTATTATTATTATTATTATTATTATTATTATTATTATTGGTTAACTGTACACCTCTCATTTTTCAGGTGTTCTTTGCTCAACTTATGCTCGCCGAAATGAATAAAGAACTAAAAGGACTAAGGTTTTACACCTGAGTTTTCATATCTATTCATGTCTTATTTATCTATTTGCTTTGCTTTATGCAGTGCCATACATCCCGTTTTTGCTTGTTATCAACATAGATGCGAATGTGATGTTTTTCTTTATTCTCTACAAGATGTTCTGATAGAGCGAAGTCTTATTGGGTAGGAAATATGTAAATAAAATATAGTTGTATGAAAATGGGGAAACAAAAACAAATTTAACAGGTTTTGCCTGACCCGAGTGCAAGTGCCGATTATCCTACCTAAGCAAATGTACTGCCGTTAACTACCACAGTTCTACTTAAAAAAAAAACCACAATTCGCTCACTACTTGATTAACTAAACAGAAATAAATTGGTTATAATAAGAATGTAATAGAAATAGTGAATGGTGTTTAAGATGTTCTTTATATATGTCCAAAATAAAGAATGAATTTGTGAAACTTTCAAGTTATGTTCATAAAGAAAATTGTGATCTTTAATAGAACCATGATAATGATTCGCCTTAAATACTGACCGAAAAGAGTTTCCTATTTTTTTCAAACACTTGATGATTGTGCAGTTTGGTGCTTGATTAGATTTTTAGTTACCCTGCAATAGAACTTGCATTTTTCTTTTTATTCTTATAATTTTACTACTTTTTACTTCACTTTTCTTCACATAGATGTGCTGTTAGTGGCTGTGGAAAGATATCAATGCATGTCCTAGAGAAGCTAATCGCATACCATGCGGTCCCAATAACAGTATCTGGTATGTATATCAGAGGCTTTTCTATTATAAATCTCCTCGTTTTTCCTTTAACTACTCTAGAACATTGGAATATTTAATTTAAATAATAACATAGGTTGCTCTGAATAAGTGAATATATCAGAGGCTTCTTTATCATAAATCTCCTCGTTTTTCCTTTAACTACTCTAGAATACTAGAATATTTAATTTTAAATAATAACATAGGTTACTCTGAATATGTGAATATATCTGAGGATCAACTAGTCAATTGAAGTTGATTATAATATAGCTCAAGCTTATTCTGTTACTCAGTATTATTCATTTATTTGATAATAAAATACTATGTCGTTATGCCTTACAAAATTTCACTTTTGCAATTTGCATTTGATTTGTGGTCCACAGATACAAAGGGTTATTTGGTGGATGAGGACGGGTTTGATTTTGTGAAAATATCTTTTTTAAGAGACATTAAAGCTCAGAATAGAAGCCTGAGGTTCGTTCGTGTGCTCTTTTGCTGCAAAATATTTTTACTCTTCATCAGCATACACGTGATGATTTTTTTTGCAGAGACTATTCAAAAACTTACGCACGTTCTAAATATTACGATGAATCAAAGCCTTGGAATGAAAGGTGTGATGTTGCATTTGCTTGTGCTTCCCAAAACGAGATTGATCAATCGGATGCCATTAATTTGGTAAATTCTGGTTGTCGTATACTAGTAGAAGGTAAAACCCCAGTTAGACATTCTCGATTTAGGTTAATTACGAAAACTACCCTTGAGGTTTGACCTTATTACATAAAGGTCGAGTGAAAGAGATTTTTTACATTTATTTACATTTACTAACTGCACCCATTGAAGGAGATTTTTGTACAAATGAAATGAACTTTGTGGGGATATTCATACTTATGGATAGCACATCGATTTTTTTTTTTAAAATTTTTATTTCTCCAATTTGACAAAACCTCGAGACTAGTTTCTGTAATTTACCTTTCCTGTTATTGTTATTGTTAGTTTATTTGTTTGCTTTTACTGTCTGTAACTATCTTCAAATTCTCTTAGGTTCAAACATGCCTTGTACGCCTGAAGCAGTTGATGTCCTAAGAAAGGCAAATGTCTTAGTTGCTCCTTCCATGGCTGCTGGAGTGGGAGGGGTATGATGGTCTTTTTATGCTTAGCATCGTCGAATGCATATAGTTTTTAACATTTAGTAAAAATATTGCAATTAGCCCCTTGAATTTACCACTACATCAAAACCAAGGGGATACTTCAGCTGTGTTTTTGTTGTAATTAACTGAATGTTATGGGGCAAATTTATCAACTATCCTGAACCGTTTGCAGAACTCTTTTTGTTCATCCTCAATTATTGATATGAATGTCCTCTTTTTCCTTCCCTCATGCCTAGCTTTTGCTTGTTTATTACAGGTAATAGCCGGGGAACTTGAATTAAGAGAGTGTAATTTGAATTGGGCACCTGAAGATTTTGAATCTAAACTAATGGTGAGTTTATAGTAAAGGAACATTTACCTGTAAAAATGCATTCAAAATTTTTTGCTTGCATTGCGTGACGTAAATTTGATTCGACTGAAAATTTGGCAGGAGGCAATGAAACAGACATACCAGAGAGCTCTCAAAACAGCCACAGACTTTGGATATCTAAAAGAGAGTCCCGAGTAAGTATTATTTTCCCCGTGATTGCCTCACAAAGATTTTTAGATGTTCAATTTTCAATTCTTTATGCTCGAATATTTTCTAATCGATATAAATTATACGCGTGCTTGCAGGGCATTGGTTCATGGAGCTGCCATATCTGCTTTTCTGACAATCGCGAGCAGTATGGCCGATCAAGGATGTGCATAAAACTTCATTTGCTCGATAACTTATGCTCTTGAAGTTGAGTAGTTAATGCAATGTAAGATTTCTTGTAGCTTATGTTAGTGAGAAAGTGAGAGTATTCAGAATAGTGTCTCTGTAGAGTTTGTGATACATTTGTTTGCTCTTGCGATTGGAGGTATTGAAATAAGATCCACAAATACACCAAGCTATTTCTCTGTTTCTAAAGGTATTTTACTTTGTTCAGAAATTCTATAGAGCCATGGGACGGCTCGCTTATAGAACCATTCATAACTTTATATAGTGACACATGTCTAGAGTGTATTTATTGCAGGACACATGTCAATACACCATTTGTAAATAACTATGGACAACTTCATAAACCGAGCCATCTGAGGACTCCATAGCAAAACCGATTATAAAACCTAACTGAATTTTTGGAAACGATGATTCACTTATCATAGTAACCTCAAATATTTTAATATGATGATCCTTTCAGTTACCTAATTATAAAAAATTAAAAACCAAATGAATTTTTTGAAAAAGATAATCCTTTCTACTCATGTAATTGCAAGAAGGAAATGAAGGGCTAGATTTCAAATTATCAATGGTCATCTCCATAAACAAAACTGTAGCATGGGTACACAAACAACATTGATCATTATATGAATTTAGCTTAACATAATAACAGGAAATAATTTTGCTTCAGGCGAGCGATATCATCATCAATTCAGCATTCAAAATTTTCTCGAAACAAAACGAGCACGGTACACAAACAACATTGATCATTATCTGCAGAAAAATGCGTTTTACATAACATAATAACAGGAAAGAATTTGCTCCTGCCAAAGCAGTATCATCAATTCAGCACCAAAATATTAGAACATGGTTCAAAAATTTCAAATAAGATAAACCGAGTGTGTCCATGACACGGAAAAAGAAACCACATGCCGCTTGTTATTTTTCCTTAACACTTTTTCATTTAGAATAGCTTTGCATTTGGGGAAGGAGTTCACAAACATGGGCAAATCAAAGATCACTGATCACCAATCATAAATCTCCAAAAAGACGGTTAAATTAAGCAAAGACTATACACACACATATCTGCAAACAACCAATCTTCATGTTCGTCTAAAACTTACCGACATTTCTACTATCAGCCACGGAGAAACCCAAAAACCTGTACAGTAACAAAAGACGGGCTTTCCCCCAAACACTTCAAAATGGAACGGATATTGCAGTTCAATTAACAAAACCAGGCATTTGTCATCAAACTAGACTATTTCCAGTTAATCAAATCACAGCAGAATTTCTCAATCTAACCATATTAGACACAAGCTCACAGCAAAACAATGAAGAATCAAGAACCAGCCAGAAAAGAACACAGCAGAATACAAAGTAAAGATCACAATCACAAGACATCATCAACTTTATTCACAATAACAAACAGACATTCACAACTAATTAATGGAAATTAATAATCCTATGCTCCAGCTTATACATTCACATAGTAATACACAAAAACAACTCAATCGAACAGAAAATGAAGACGACGTAAAAGCCATTACCAGTTTACCACAATCCAGTTGAATTTATTCACATTATATATATAATAATATATCAGAAATCTGGTCCACGCAATAACAGAAAATTAGGCATATAACTCAGAACAGAATTCGGATTGAATAAAAACCTAACAGCGATTAGCAAATTTCAGCCGCGGGCCTTGAGCTCGGCAAGGCGCCTGGATAGATCGTCCTCATCTACCTTCTCGCTGTTCTTCACCGACACGGCATGTGCCGCCGGCTGTGGAAGCCCGACAGACACCTCAAGCCCGTAATCATCGGCTACCTGCTGCATGAGGCTGTTGACCTCGCCCTCGGGTGTGGAAAGCGATGTGCTTCCGGCCATGGAGCTCTCCATGAACTCGGCCTGGACCTCCATGTTCACGAACTGGCGCTCGAACTGGTCCATCGTCTCGGACATCTTCTGGAGGTTACCGGTGGCGAGGGACGACTCGAGGGACTTGACGATGTTGCCCATCGACTTGCCGATCGCTGTCATCTTCGCCTGGGTGTCGAGGCGGGCGACGACGGCGTCGAGGCGCGAGGAGAGGCGGAGATAGTTCATCTGCTCGTTGCGCTTGCGGATCGAGTTCTCGGCGTAGATCCGAGCGCCGTCCATGTTTCCCTTCTCGATCGCCTTCTTGACCTTGAGCTTCTCCGATTTCTCCTCCTTCTCGCACTTGCGGGCCTGCCGCTGGAGGCTCTTCGAGGTGAACTTCAGATCCATGATCTGCTGCATCAGCTTCTCGGTGTTGCCCATGGCGGATTTTTTTTCCGAGGATTCTTGTAAAGATTGGGACTTTTTTATTTTGGGGGAAAAATTGGTGGTAGGGTTCTTGTTTCTTTGAAATTGCTGTGCTTTTGTGGTGTTGGGATCCGGTGCGTCGGGTGTAGTGGACCTAGTGGTCCATATTTTATGGATCCAATTGGTGGGCTTTTGTACGGGTCGGTCACTTATCATCGGCTGATACGTTACCGTTATGGCAGAGTGTAGGAGAATTCAAAAAAAATATATATTATTGTTTAAAATTAAAGGTTTGGTGACTTGGTGTACCATTCCCTCCTTTTCACCGTATATTCGATTTTGCAAGTAGGGATGCAAACGAATCGAGTGGTTCGCGAGCCGCTTGAGTTAAAGTTCGACTCGAAATCGAGTTTGACCGAACTCGAGTCGAGAAGCTCGAACCCATATTTTGTCTTGCCTAGCGGCTCGAGATACACGTTAAATTACTAAAATACCTCTTATTATATATATTAGCATAGGTGCTTACGATAATTTTACATTTCCACTTAAAAATTTTCGAGCCGAGCTCGAACATTTTTTATTTTAGTGTAATTTTTTATCGAGTCGAGCTCGAGCCTCAAAAATCGAGCTCGAGCTCAAGCAGCTAAAAAAACCCAGTCCTGCTCGATAAAACCAATGTTCGACTCGGCTCGACTCGTTTGCAGCCCTAGTTGCAAGCGTGTAACTGCCCCACATGCTTTTCACCTTTGATTTATACATACTCACACATACACCCATGTGGATGTGTATGAAATCAAAGATAAAAAAGCATGCAACATAGAATTTTTCCCTTTTCACATGTTTAAGTTTCTCAATTGAATTACTGTTAGATGCATAATAGAATAAATTAAAAAATAAGCACTTTATAAGACAGACTTAACTGTTTTTGCAGGCTGGTCGACCTCATCACAGTGTCTTTCCTATGACCAGGTTGGAGCCTTCTCTGTTGGGTTTTCGCAATCGGGATGCGGGTTGGTCTCTCTTGAGTTTAAGGGCAAGTGGACGGCGAGCTTCGACCGTAGAGAGCCTTTTGGCCGTGGTTGTTTGCACTGAAGGTTTGATTGGGTTCGAGGATGTCGTATATGGCTAGCCATAGTCGTTTGAGTTTTGGAGTGTGGAGTTTTTGGATTTGTTTTCTTGGCAGGGGTTGTGCTCTTCTTTGTAGACTGGTTGCAACGGTGTTGAAGCTTGGTGGTGGCAGGGAAGGGCTTTATTGTATCGATTATGTGTGTGTTGTAGGTGTTCTGTTTGTTTTTCTTCTAATTTTTCGGTTTAAGTCTAGTTGCGTCTGACTTCAGTCTCTTTTATGTCATTTTTGGAGTTCTTTTGTTTGGCTGGTTATTGTACCATTGGTTGACTATGTAATTCTACGGGAGTAGATCTAGTCTTTGTGTTGGTTCTACTGATTTTTCTTGACACATCGATGTAATCTTTCTAGTTTTTTTTTCTTTCTAATATAATAATTGGTTGACTAAAAAAATTGTTAACAATTATGATTCAGTTTACATTAACACAAATTTTTTATCATTATATTGACATATTGTCGTTTTGTCAAAGAATTTTCATAATTCTGGAGTTCCCATTTGTAAATACACAAACTACCTCTTCGTAAAAAGTGTAGGAGAATATATTTCTTTTAATATTTTTTCTTTTATATAGAATTCATTTACTTGCAACGTTCTTTATGCTAGAGCATGATCATGTCTAGACTTTAGCTCGAAATATACGTCCCTAGTTCACTGAAGTTCGAGCATATTCCCATCATCGTAGACCCTAGCTCGAGTTACATGTCCATGACCTCATGCAGCTCGAACATGGTCAGACTATTCCAGGGTCTTATCTTGAGCTACGTGTCTAGCAACCAACTTTATTCTGACATTCACATTACCTCATCCAAATTCCATAACGGTGATACAAAACCTAATGCTATTAAGCGAGCTATTTTTTTTTTTCCAAAAAAAAAAGGTATGCCAATATGCATAACTATATTAGGTTAGATAGCCATATTTTCAATATACAATACTTTTCAGTTGAGTTTTCATACTTGTGAAATAACATAAATAAGATTATGACATTTCATAACATAAGTATTCATTATTTTATTGACAAAGCATAACATAAGTATGCAATATTTAATTAAAAAAAGATGATGGATCGATACTCCTAACATTTAGGTCGCCTCATAAATAGATTTATGACTAAAGAAAATGTTTTAGAAAATCTCACTTTGGTTTTCCTAAGTACAACAATTGAACTTAAACCACAAACTACAAGCTAGAAGAACTTATGAATATTAACCTCGTCGAGACATATACTGGATATCTTCTACTGTAGACATGGCCAAATCTCAGTATTGGGATGGAATCGCCATTTTTTGGGATCTAAACCGACACGAGAATATAGACGGGCCAGTTCAATGAACCGATTGTCCTAATTCCGAGGCGAAACAATAAATTAAAATAACAGAATCACCGATTACGGTTCAAAATATGAACCACAATTCAAATTGTCCAATATCATAAACTGAACCAACCCGGTAAAACTACGGACCGGTTCAGGACCCGGTGTCAAAGGGCCCGGTTCAACCCGTGAACATGCCTAGTTGTCCATAAGACGAAATTGATCGCCCCCCTTAAATATAAAGAATTTGAATTCTAATATTACAGTAACTTCAAATAATAAAACTTTCCACGAACTTTACTTGTATATAGCAACCATACGAATATAAAATAGAAGCAGAACATAATTACGAGATGGATGCTAATATGATTCTTGAAACATTGTCTTACCTCTGCAAATTGGTCAATGAAAAATCAATCATGTACATGAAAATCAACACAATAACATATGGATTAAGGCTGCACAATCGGTCAAAATCGAACCGACTCGACTGAAAATTCGATTAACCAAATTTCCGAATCGATCCAACCGAAAATTCAGTTAACCGAATTTTCGATTTGTCCAGTATCAAAACCGAAAAACAAACCGAAAACTGCGGTTCGGTTCGGTTTCAAAATATATACTTATTGGCTAGGGGAAACTCTGAAATAAATAAAAAAATACAGTGTATGATGAGAAAAGCTATTCCCATTAATGCGAAACAAAACAAATATTCTCCCTTACAACTGATATTTGTTCTGAAAAGGAAGATACAATTATTTAATCACATTTCAATTTCATCATATTATATATCCTGCAAAACCTGCAAAATATGCAGAATGGCAAAAGGGTGAAACACTGAGCAGCAAGGTATGGGGTTGAATTGATGAACTCCAAATTTTTCCTATTCCCAATTTATTAAGATTAATGGTGCATTGTGTTTTGTGCCCCAAAATAATTCAGTTTTGCCACAATTGTTTTGAAATCATAAATATTCATTTTTCAGTAAAATATACATCAAATTACATTGAAATGATGTGATTTTTAAATTAATCAAAATAAGACCAACATGCAATTAGGACACAACAAGGATCAAAACCTTATACAATGTAAAAATCGGGGCAAAACGGTTGCGGTACCACGCCCGTGAAGCGCATCATAGTAGGGTGCATGGGATCGCACCTATTTTTTCCTTGCTTATTACATGGTATCAGAGTCGGTTTTACGTGGGATCATGCGATGACGTACCCGTCACCCAGCCCAGTTGGGCTTGTGTCTTGTATGAAGGACTCACAAGTGAGAGAACGCGTTAGAAATTTAGAATATCATTTGTGAGTTGTCTCACGTCGTTTATACATGGAGAATAGGTCTAACCTGTAAGTCTAGTTGACCCCTCTTCCTTGCACCAATTGATTTTGGAATGGAACTTCACTTGGGTTTTATTTAGGTTTTCCCTGTTATGTGCGCTTCACGTTCG